GGAGCACGTCCTCGGCGCCGTGCGGCGCGGGCAGCGCCGACTCCATTACATTTTATGCCCTACGTTAACGTGCCGGCGGCGCGGTTAAGTTCAACGAATGCGAGCGACTAAGCGGAATCCAAAAGGAGCAAGCGGCCGCCTCGACGGTGAAGGAAGGTGCTGTGCGGTGGGGTGGGGTGGGGTGGGGTGGGGTGGGGGGTGGTGGGAAGGGATCAAGGGGTGGCGGGGGGGGGGATGGGTTCGCTCGTGGTCCACACAGCAAAACAATGACTTCATTGCTGGGCGTAGTAATTGTCTGCGTGCCGAGCGGTGCGCTGTGCCTGTGCCGCCACCGCCGCCACCGCCGCCACCGCCGCCCCCCTCTGGCCCAGGGATGGCAAAAAAAAATCTATGCTTTTAAAATATCGATATTATAGCATCGACGTTTTGCTTTCTATATTTTCTTCAAATCGATATAATAGCCCAATAGCGATTTTTAATAAAAATATAAATAAATTTTCCAGTATTTGTTTTATTTTTGGATTGCTTGCAAACAACAACCTTTGACAACTGTCACTATAGCCGATCGCCTGACAATACGAAACCGCTCGCTATTTCCAACCTCTCTGGTGTTTTTGTAGTTTTGATTATTTCGTCCGTGGAAATATCGTTAAATTGCAATTTCTACCTTAACTACAAACACATTGATTAGAAAATTACTATGAAAGTCAAATATAAAACACTCAAAAGTAAGGCCTATAACTCTGAACTAATATTGACGTGTGATGTATCACATTCGAACCGTGAAATTTTCTTCGAAAAATTTCATGGTAAACCATATTTAAATCATCGACATCTTCTCGTAGATGTTTTCTGTCGATAGTTTTATAGACAATAGGGCGTTTGTGTAACTTCGAACGTTAAAGCACTCTCGATCTTTTGCGCATGCGCAGTTTAAGTTTTTCCCCATTTTAATGCATCTAGACATGCACGTGAGATCGATAGAGCTGACGCTATGGCGTGTACAAACGCCCTAAAATAGTTACATCGACTTTTAGTGATGTATCGAAGTATGTTTTGCTAAATTTTGGCATCACTATCCCTGCCACCCACCAATTTTCCCCACTACATGACGTTTCGCAGTCGTCGTCACCACTGTGACTGCTACGGTCAATTACATTATATGGTCATCCTGCTGTTTTCCTAGTACTATATCCACACCCCACTCGCAATCGGTTGACCTGTCTCAGTTTCCTTCAGTTTTTGCTTACGCCTTCACTTCCAACACTTGCCCTATAAAGAATAACGTTGGCAACTATGCCTAGGACGCGGAGTGTCTCCAACAGCAACGGGTCTACTGAGTCAGGTCGCGGAAGCCTACTCTTTCAACGGTGATGCTGTTTCTTCGAAGACTATTATCGACCTCCTGATCTACATACTTTACTTGTCTTTGCCTCTTCCGTTTCCACCTCTGATGACTTCTTTCTCTTCTTTCCTTTACCAACCGCTACACGCTTCTCCTGGTTTCCTTCATCTAACGTCGCCTGTCATCTTCTCCGGTCTCATTTACTACATCAACCATCTCCATGTTTTCTGTTATTGGCAATATGTATGCTTCTTTACGCAACCTATCGAAAAATTCTCCAGGGGAGAGGACGGGAGGAGGAAGAGGAAGGAAAGAGAGTTTACGATCCATAGCTTCAATCGCGAGAATTGTCCTCCAGACAGCGGTTGAATGAGACCTATAGGTCTCACAAATGCGTTCTAGCGGTAAAAACTAAGAACGTAATATGAATTAATAGTGTGGTTATATATGCCCCACGTAACTTTCAACGTCAATCGGTTGGTAAGTATTGACAATCAACCACCAGTACGTCACATAATATGATTAATGTCACAATGTAGAAATCGATCGTCACAACTTGAAAAAACATAACCATACGTTTATGGTTGAGGGAGACATGATCATTTTTTCAATGTAGTTGTAAAACTAGTGTCGAACATCCTCAACCGCCGGGACTCGAACCCTAAGACTTCTCGGTCAGGGGCTCTGCAGAGACAGCGGCAATGCTGGTTCTCAGCAAAATAGCCGGTATTCCCTGTTAACCTCGCTTCCCGCCTCCCGCACCTCTCCTCTCGAGCCAGCCTGCCGGGGCAGTGCGGGCATCTCGTTTTGTTCTTTTCCGGCGAAAACTTCACGTGCCTTCCCAAGTATGCCCGAACGCGCCCTGCTGAGTTGCATCGTCTGGGAGCCAAACACGCTATTCTTTCCGAGCGGACTTTGTGTACCGGAGAAGCTCATAAACCTTGGCCACGAGAATCGAAAAATCGACTGCGTCTGCGAACTTCTGGTAGGGAAGGTGCGTTTGGTATTCGTGAGCAAGCGTGTATCGAATTCTGGCTTTTGCAAACCATCATTCCTACTCTTACGTAGATTCCAAGTCACGTAGGTCAAATCCCTTTGAACACGAAAATTATTATATACAGATATTAATGTCAATATTCAATGATAATGGAAACTGATATAGAACCTTCAATTCTTTGTTTGTGATCCACAATGTTGTATTATCTAATTGTGCATTTTCTTGTGGAACCACTGAAACATACTTTTCGATTAAATTCAAGTTTGTCAGTTAAATCGAATTCTCAATATTCCAAATAGAAATAAAAGGTATGATCAATTACAATTCATTTTTCATATACACGTCTATGTATTATTTAGATATTTGCAATTTTGTTGAAAAAATATCCATTTATCTATATGTTGAACTGGAGATTTTTGGTTTTATAAGTCTGATAAAACAATTGAAAATTAAAAGTAGATAACACACGAATGAGTTGTGTGCTTTTAAAATTTCCCAACAGACACAATATTCGTGTCAAATTCGCATATTTCAATGGGTATTTAATCCTTTGTATTATAATAGGTCATTTTTTATTAAAATATTGCAATTATTTATATTAGAGTTTTCTCTGTGAATTTCAGAGTCATTCGCTGATGCGAAATGCAAGTGTTCATTCACTAATGACATCTATCTACCGCATTCGATATGAGAATAAGTTGATGGGAGTGATAGTTTTACAACCAACCTAGTACACAGTCCAAGCACTAAAAAGGAATGGGAAACTTAAAACACAACAATATATATTATTAATAATTGTTAATTTTGATTAAAATGTCCTGCAATCCGTGTGGCTATAACTCTTCACCCACGGTTAACAAAAAATATATTTCCCAACGAATATCTGAAAGTTCTTGTGTAGAAATGTAGATGCAACCCCTGGAGAATAATGGATTCTTAGAAAGCAAAGAAGAAAATCCCGCAGCAAAACCGGAACGGAAAACTTCTCGAGCCACACAAAGCATGCTGCCCCAGTCACGCATGTTTACATAAATGGAGAGATATGAGACCCGATGAAAATCTAGTGAGAACGTGTGTTTTTACTTTTCAAATGGAAGAGGCTTTGTCACTCATGCAGATGTCACGTTTCTGCTAACGAAGCTCCGAGTGAACAAAAAATTGAGGAAAATAAAATGTCTTGATGAATCTACAACTTTCATTTTGAAGAGACGAGCTCAAGGAAAAAGAAAAAAGTCTACAATAAATTTATTTTTTAAAGACAATATTAATGACATCTTGTCTCATGACAAATAGCGTTTTGTATGTTCTAACTTTCTAAAGAGTTGTAAATCAACATTCCCAAAATAATAATCTTTCAAATAAAAAAAATTATTTTAAAACATGGAGATTTCATTTAATTCGTAATTACTAATCGGTCATCGTCAATCCTAAATCCATCAATACTCTTCATCATTCCTTTACAGGTCCCAAATTCTTTCCGTTTTTCATCACGCAACGTCATCTCACACAAATTTACGAATACAACTAAACGACAGTGATGATCGTCGTCTTCTAAGCAACAATCCCTCCAGCTCTTCAAATCCCGCCGAGGAATTCTCCGCACGCTCTTGTCAAGACGGACAGATGTGGGTCACACAGCTGCGGAATCGACTACGTTACAGCCCCGGAGCCGGGCCCGCTAGCTTCCTCCGGTCGTCAATATATATGTATTCTTATCGGCAGTATTGGAAATCCTCCCCAATTTCCACCCCGTGTGCGGGACGGCCCGCGACAAAGGGCCCGGAACAGCGGGGGGGCGGGGGCTTTATCGGCCGTCAATAGGGCGAAGGGCGCGGCGCGGGTGTCGACGGCCCCGCGGAAAAAAAGAGAGCTCTCCGCTGCCGGAAGCGGCGGCGGCGCGGGGCAGCGCGCGAGGGGGCGAAGCGGGCGGTTTTGTTTGGAATTCGAGCACGTGACGCGCGCGAGTGTGCGTCTCAGATCCCATCCGTTTGAGGAGTGGGGTGGGAGCGGGGGCTGTGGATGAGCTAACAGTAAATGTGCGATGAATGCTAAAAAGTGCGGCTGTTCTGGGGGATGAGGTTGTGTCACGTACAACAAGACATTTCCGGTTTCCTTTGTCAGGTGCGCAAGACAAAAAATTCTTTTGTACGAGTATTTTATAAGCAATTTTACTGTAATATAATTAATTTATTGTAGTAACATTCAAAATTACGGTGATCTTAAAATATTTCATCATGTGTTCACATACCTATCACAAAATATAGCTGAAAAAATATTGTAAAGGTTCATATTGATAAACGTTCTTTGAAATTTAGCACTTCAAATGTCAACTTTGACCAAACATTGTCTTCCTGTAACAATGTAATTTAACATTACGTGTGCACCAGGTAAGTTATTTGAAAAAAACTGGAAGATAATTGCATTTTTATAAGGATGACAATTCATCGTAACTTTCGGAATAAGAACACCAAAAATATAGTTATGTATAAGAATATCAAATTAAGAGTACGTGCCACAAATAGGTCTTGTATAATATCCCTTTTACTGTTGCGAGTTAGAGGTTCAAGTGAGCATGCGAAACAATTAATTTTCTGACAAAAATATTATTTCTATTTACTTTTCTACAAAATATTCTAAGAAATGAACTTAATAACTTACCGATCAGCAGGTGGAGATAACAGCTGGATTCATTCTGGTGGACGAGCAGTTCAGAACAACGCAGTTAACGCCATGTTTATCGGTCAGCAATGTCCAGAATCTGTGTGACAAATATTTTCACTTAAGAATGAAAAGCTCAATCACTAACAATGTAACAATTGTGAAGTTAACTGCATTTAACTGACATTTGTTATATTTTGTACTTGTCTTGCTGGTACATAAAACTACTCTTGTACTCTGAATATCAGAGTTGCGTACCTTGCATCTTGTTCATTATTGAAATTATCTTTATCAATGATATTGATGTTAAGGTATCAGAAAAGTAACGAAATATGTTAAAAGAAAAGAAAATTTAGATAAAACCATATTTTGAGATATAAAATAATACCATGTGTTTTCAAACAATATAGAAATATCCTTAAGAATGTCTTTTTCTCCGGCACTTATCTCGAAATCTGATTGAAATATTCAGAATTCTTTATAAGGGTGTTGCAAAGGAAGTGTTTTTTAAATTTCCTCAACAAAAAACTTCTTCAGAAGCATTAAAGCAAAATTAATAAACAAATGGCAACGATTAGATTTAAAGTGTCAAGATTCAAGTAATTGACATGTGTTGATATTTCAAAGAAAATTTATGTAAGATATTTCTTAGTACAATGCTCCCGGGAAAGTGATTACGAGAACAAGTAATAAACTAAATAAAAATGAAGGGCGGAAGCCCAGCGAAGCGTTTCTGGATGCTCCGGGGCACCTTTTCAAGCGAATTAAGAAAGTCTGAACGACCGGATAAAGGCAGTCAGGAACACATACAATGCTCAGTAGAAAGCAAATGAAGCTGCTGGAGACACAGGTCAGTTGTAAAATAGTACTTATCTTTGAAAAGAAAAAGAGCAATTCGGAAATTCCGTTATCTTAATAAACGTCACGGGCAGCGCCTAAGAGTTTTTGGAAAATCAGATGAGCAATTTAGGCCGTTTGATAGTTTTAGCCATAAAAAATACTGGTATTTGTCACGGTAAGAGTAGATCATTTATAGACGATCAAAAGAAGTACATTTAGTTCATGAATGAAATACATCCAAGAAAGGTATATTTCTTAGTTAGGAATAGAAAACGTCTTTTTAGAGGGTTGTAAATAAAGTAGCGGTGACAAGTCAAGGCAATGAAACAGCTGTGTGCATTTACTTCTAGGTTGTGTATGGAATCAACTCGAATTTGTTTTCTAGAAGCTTGTTGTATTCTAGAAGTAATACGTTGTAATAGCGAATGTTTTTAGTGCGACCAGTTGAAGTGGGAAACATGTCCTCTTCCGCCTTATGTTTACAAAGGTAGAATGGCGATTGTAGATAGCTATTCTCGTGGTCTCGTCATCACTGTCTGCAACACGCTGGGTGAGTGCGCTTCGTCACGGTAGAGGTATGCGAGTGGATTTTTGCCACAACTCCTAAGCCATTTGAAGCCATTCATTTTGTTGAGCAGATATTGTTAGTGAGTTACTTATCGTGACACTTCTTTCCTGTTAATGGAAATGTATTCATTTCTTTCGGAATAATCCATCTTGAGTCTTACATTGTTTTCTTCCTTTTTTTCTTCCTGGGTCTTTTCCAGCTTCAGGACCCACTATGTTCGCAATAGGGACACATATTAACCTTCACACTAGACACAAACTTGCGGAGTCCTCATCTTCGGTCAGGAAACTCACAAAACCTTCTGAGACGACACACAGACATTAAATATGCACTATGTGATCAAACGTATCTGTACTCGTGGCTGAAAATAGCTTAATAAGATGTGGGTCCAACCTTATCCTTGATGACAGCTTTCACTTTCGTAGGTATACTTTCAATCAGGTGCTGGGTGGTTTTGGGGGAATAGCAGCCCATTCTTCACGGAGTGCTGCACTGAGAAGATGTATTGATGTAGGTGAGTGCGGCCTAGCACGAAGACGGCGTTCCAAAACATCCCAAAGGTTTTCGACAGGATTCCAGTCAGGACTCTGCGTAGGTCAGTCAATTACAGGGATTTTATTGGCGTGTAAACACTCCGCCGTGCAGTATGAACAGGTGCTCGATCGTATTGAAAGATGCAATCGCTATCCCCGAATTGCTCTTCAACAGGGGAGAGCAAGAAATTGTTTAAAAAATCAATGTAGGTCTGCGCCATGATAATGCTACACCAAACAACAAGGGGTGCAAGTCCCCTCCACTAAACACCACTTTGTGTGTACTAGTGTAAGAGAAACAACCATGCCCAAAGAGTAACTCGAACACGCGACCCTTCTGACCAAGGCGCGGATGCGGCATATTAATAATAATAATAATAATAATAATAATAATAATAATAATAATAATAATAATAATAATAATAAATTTATTCAAACGGGAAGTGGGTATAACTCGGTGGTAGCTAATTACATAAATATGATTCAAGTTGGCATCATGAATCTGGCATGATACGCACAATTAGTCGTAGCGGAAATCGGCCTTGTTAAGTCACCACTGGGAAATTGTGGTCATTCCATGGTTCCCAGTCACAGCAACTTTAATTTGTAGCAACAATTGAAAGAACTTCTCACGAGCATCAACGGACTCGGGTCTACGAACATTCCATTTCAGGCGATTCAATACTAGTCTCAATCTCGCCGACGGCATCCTACATTATTTCACGCCATTATGTTGACGGAATGTAACTGAATTTCGGTGCTAGCTTCAATACAATCCGGGTCAAATTTATGTTGTCAATACTTTATTTATAACGCTCGTATTATATAACTTTATATTCTCATGTTACTATGTATGTTAGTATATAAAGGATAACATATAGTATAATAAATAAAATATAGTATTTAAAGGAAAACATTATACAGTGAAGCACCCCAAAGAAGCTTCAGTCCCATTTTAGAAGTCAATGATGCACATTCAAAAATATACTGTTACAAATTTTGTATTGTAACAAATGCCATTCAATGTGTCTATTGTTAACGTTATAAATATTAACTATAAATCAACAAACAAAAATATAATATATACAAATAAATTTATATTCAGCATAAATCAAAAATTATTTATAAGAAATCACCAAATGGGATGGCTACATCCCCTCGAATAAATCCTTGGTGACTGTCAGGCATTATACCTAAAGATTTTACAGGCTATAATACAAATGTATAATGTACGTAATGAACATAATTAACAATATATGCGTAATTACGTTTAAATAAAACTTCACTATCTGTGCACGTCTTCTACAGTTCTGTGAATAATTTATTTATTCAAATTATCGATCTCCATGTTCTAACGGCGGGAAGTCTATTTCATCAAGAAGGGCACGATGTGGGATCAAAGCAAAAAACTATTGCTGATTTGGTTTCGCAAATCATTTTTATTACCCACGAGTGAATTTTTCTAATCAATCCTTACCGAAATGTGTATTTACAATATTCATAATTCAACTTGTATGTGGGTTAGGGTTGTTACGAAAGATTTTAAGAAAACATGCACAGAATATTCTTTCCCCATAGCACATCCCACGCAGCTTTTTGTGTTTTGTGTTTTTGTTGTGTGTTTGCTGTGTTTTTTTACAAAATATAAAAATAAAACAAAAATAAAATATAATAAAATAAAAATAAAATAATAAAAAAAGAAATAGAAATATAATAAAAAAGAAATAAAAATATAATAAAAAAGAAATAAAATAAAAATTGAATAAAAACAAAATTAAATAAAAAATAGAATAAATATAAAAAAACAATATATGTAAATATCTGCAACACCGGGCACCAAATCGGATCCATGAGCGCAGCAAGCGGGATCAACAAACGCGTTGTGTAACCCGTCCAGCAAACGTCTTTGTACAGTCGGCCCGGACCGCGGACGACGTAATCTCTGGGTTCCCACCCGTAGTGGCAGCCGGCACGTACATTCCCAACGGGGCCCTCTCATGACGCGCCTCTATTTGCCCCCTGGGCGATTCCACACTCGGTCGCCGTCGTCGGCCGCGGGGGCGCAAAGGTCATCGACCCCTGGAGCCGCGTCGGCGGCGCGGGGCGTTTGGGACCGCCCGCGGGGGTCCTACGCACGCCCGAACAATACGCACCGGCGATAACGGCGATAACAGCGACGACCCTTCGCCCGCACAACCTGTCAAGTATCGCGGTTCGCATCTTGATTGTCGCCTAACTTGGAAATATGGCTTCCAAGGAGGAAAGCTAAGGAAGAAGAGAGGTTCAGACGGCTTTACTATCTACTAACTCGAAGTTATTCGCTGAATTTAACGCATTAAAGCCTTTCATGTACAAACAAACAATTTGACAAACATTTACTTCTACCTCTTCCATCTGGGCATTCTTTAAATTATAAAATAAAACTAAAATTCTAACAATTATCCAAATATGGTACTAAAAAAATCACGAATGCTTCCACTTGTGCGCAATTTATCCTCGCACAAAAAATATATGAATTTAAACACGGTATCATTTCACACAGATCCAAATTAATCATTCACAAACTTCTAACCCCTTCTGCAAAATGTAGGCACAACATATTTAAAAACAGATAAAATAAAAATTCTGACGCGATGTAGTATCCTAACAATATTTCTCACAAATATATTTCCTGCTTAATTATAATAGATCAATAAATACTATACATAACGTATTTCTAAAGCCAGTACTAGAATTTGAGAAACCAATCCGCATTTAAACAATTATATTTCAAATAATTATCTTCTGTAACACGCCCTTGTAAGAAAATCAACGGGAAACGAAAATAAATATATACCCTCGTTATTGGACTCGTATCTAGAAGTCGTAGCCAAAGGCAATGTTTACCCGGCTGATGGTAGTACCATCCTACATCCTCCCTACTTTGTGTCATCCTCCTAGGAGAATTCGCACGAGAACACAGCAGATTTGTAGATTTACAGAATATCCTCGAACTGTGAAGACACCGTTCGTATGAATGCCAAGTGATATTGTACAAGTATAATAATTCATGTGCAATACGCTCAAGTATTTTAATGAAAGAATTTTTCTACTATGAATCATTCAGTAACAAGCTCATGAACATATCTCTTCATTTACATTATGTATATCCTTAAAATT